AAGTCTTTGACTGTGTGGATCATAACAAACTGTTGAAAATTCTTAAAGATGTGGGAATACCAGACCACCTGACGTGCCTCCTGAGAAATCTATATGCAGGTCAAGAAGCAACAGTTAGAACTGGACATGGAACAACAGACTGGTTCCATATTGGCAAAGGAGTATGACAAGGCTATATATTGTCACCTTGCTTATTTAACTTATATAGAGAGTACATCATGTGAAATGCCGGGATGGATGAAGCACAAGCTGGAATCAAGACTGCTGGGAGAAATATCAATAACCTCAGATATGCAGATGACACCACCCTTATGGCAGAAAGTGAAGAAGAACTAAAGAGCCTCTTGATGAAAGTGAAAGAGAAGAGTTAAAAAGTTGGCTTAAAACTCAACATTCAGAAAATGAAGATCATGACCTCCAGTCCCATCACTTCATAGCAAATAGACAGGGAAACAATGGAAACAGAGACTTTATTTTGGGGGGCTTCAGAATTACTGCAGATGGTGACTGGAGCCATGAAATTAAAAGATGCTTGCTCCTTGGAAGAAAAGCTATGACCAACCTAGACAGCATATTAAAAAGCAGAGACATTACTTTGCCAACAAAAGTCCATCTAGTCAAAGCTATGGTTTTTCTAGTAGTTGTGTAGGCAAGTGACAGTTGAACTATAAAGAAAGCTGAGCACTGAAGAATTGATGCTTTTGAACTGTGGTGTGGAGAAGACTCTTGAGAGTCCCTTGGACTACAAGGAGAGCCAACCAGTCCATCCTAAAGGAAATCAGTCCTGGATATTCATTGGAAGGACTGATACTGAAGCTGAAATTCCAATACTTTGGCCACCTGATGCAAAGAACTGACTCATTGGAAAAGACCCTGATGCTGGGAAAGATTGAAGGCAGGAGGAGAAGGGGACGATAGAGGATGAGATGGCTGGATGGCATCACCGACTCAATGGACATGAGTTTGAGCAAACTCCGGGAGCTGGTGATGGACAGGGAGGCCTGGCGTGCTGCATTCCACGGGGTCACAAAGAGTCGGACACGACTGAGCGACTGAACTGAACTTAGCAGTATAGAGTAGCACTAATCCTCAAAACCTCACTAGACTCTTCACTCCAGTTACCATGGAAATACATTGTAGTGCTGGTCTTTCAAAGAACACCCAAGGCTGAAGAACTCTGGTAAGTCACAGCTTTGTATCTCCAAATCAAACAGTCTGTTAAGCATTTCCATGGACTTCGATGGATTTCCCGACTTGGGAGCTCTCCATTAAATCCTAAGGGAATCTCTGACTCAAACATTTCAATTAATGAAAACATGCAAGGAATCCGCTTCATTCATTCAACTCTTCAGGTTCACTAACATATCCTAAGAATATCTTTGACAAAATTTCAAAACAAAACCCACAAATAACTGTCTCAACATCCGGGAAGCTGAGTACAACTCCATTCTAGCGTTCCTCCCCCAACTGGGTACCCCACTGGTTGACCTTTGTGTCAACAGATTCATTATTTTCTTCATTTCTTAGGCATGGAAAAATGAAGTCCTTTGACTCTTCTATCCATGGAAACAGAGACACGGGTCATACAAGCCTGCGGACTATTCTTTTGTGATTTACCTCAGAGGATGCTTTCCTTCATGGTTTTTGCCCCAGTTTGTGAACTCTCTCCCCACAACTGGCCTTCTGCCCTCACCCCGGTCATTCTGCCTTCATTTTCTGTCCCTTCCAACATGTAACTTTAAATATTTATTTGGCTGTGCTGAGTCTTAGTTGCAGCATATGGGATCTAGTTACCAGATGAGGGGTTGAACCCAGGCCTCCTGTATTGAAAAAGCAGAGTCTTAGCCAACAGGCTGCAAAGGCAGTCTCTCAACATGTAACTTTAGATTAAACATAAGACACATCAATCTGTCCTTCTGCCTGTGCTCACCTTCATCCAAACTTCACTTATCCTGCTTTCTCCTCTTTCAATATTTCACAGCATGACTTCAGAGTCAGAGAACTTCTTCCTAAGAACGTGCCTTCTAAGCCTTACTCCAGAACATCTGCAAGGATGTTCTCCCCTGTCCTAGGTCTACCTTAATCTCCCTATCTTCTCTGCAGAGAGGAGATTTCCCTAACCACTCAAGGACACTAGTGTTGTAGCCAACACTTCATAGCAGTAGGACAAATAATATACATTACTCTTCTGACCCATCCTGTTTGCTGCTTGGGATAATACAAATGCCCACATGCTGAGCAAATATTAGCCTGATGTATACATACATTTGAAATCTGTATACAGTGAGAAGGTAATTGGAGAATGTAGAGAAAAGAAAATACCATTTGCTCCAAATGAATACAAAGTCATCACGGTCTTCTCTACCAGTAAAAAGGGAAGCCTTGCTCTGAGAGATTTAAGCATGCTTATTTATTCTCTAGTTGCCAAAAGTTGGGCAAAAGTTTTCCTGGTCCTTATGCACTGACTTACAATGGAATTCCAACAGAGTTACACATGATGTTGCACTTGAATGCCCAGTGGGAACCTTAAGGTCACTGAAATAATGAATGGCTGAAGAATTAATAGGAGTTGAGCCTCATGCGCCTTCCTGTGTCACAGCTGGGCAGAACAGTGCTCTGTTCATGGCTGAAAATACGTCTTGAGACATGGCCGCCACAGCTGTGCTGGGCATGGCCGCCGTCAAAAGGCACTGCAGAGCTGGGGGCCTGCTTAAATCACTCTGCCCTCTTCTCATCAGACACATTTCCTTGACCATTATCAACTGCACAACAGTCACATTTGTCTATTAACAGACATGCAAGCACGGAGACAGTCTTACCAGAGGACACGGCCTTCCGTCCTCAGCCTTGCCCCCACTCCACATCCTCTTATCTTCTTTCCTGCCAGGACGTCCCTTGCTCACTTTTTTTTCATTGACTTTCTGCATCCACTCAAGGCCCGTGTGACCTGCCTCACCTCCAGGAACTGCCACATCCGTCCCCGGTGGCACAGACATGCTAACTCCCCTCCGCCTCCCTCCATCGAGCACAGTCTTCGGCTTTGAGCCGAAGTCATAGGCTTTGAGCCTATGCACAAAGCCACCCACCCACTGAAGCCCCCATTCATCAGCTCTATGCCCAGCTGGCTCTTCCCATCCTTAGAGATGCTGGTAAGTTGTTGCCTCTTCAGAACTTTCCTCTGCCTCTCTCTCTCTCTCTCCCCACCCTACATCCTTCCGGGGATGTAGTACCCATCTCCACATCCCACCTAGCCTCTATCTAGCATCAATGTTAGTTTAGCTGTCTTATTAGTATTCTTTCCCTTCATTGGAAAATAGCTTCCTACAGAGAAGAAAGTGGGGAGTACCAAGACATAGGGAGAGGATTAAAAGGTACAATCTACCATGTTTAAAATAAAGAAGTTACAGGGATATACAGGTACAACACAGGGAATATACTCAATATTTTATAATAACCTTAAATGGAATGTAATCTATAAAAACTTTATTATTCTGTACATCTGAAACTAATATACTAATGTAATAAGCTATACCACAATAGAAAAATAAACAAAACATAAAGGCAAAAACACACACACACACACAAAAACCAGATACCCAGAGGATAATGACATTATAGTGTAAAGTGAGGCATGCAGGTTCAAATCCAAGCTCCACGGCTTATTCACTGTGTGATCTGGGCTTCATGTTTAATCATTCTGTGTTTCAGTTTCCTCATCTGTAAAATGGGGATACTAACAATCCTTACTCTGCAGGGTTATTGGAATCATTTGATCCAATTTCTTTAAAAAACTCCTTTAAGAAGTTGCTACATGTCAAAGACTTAGAACAGTGTCTGGCCGGCACATAACATTAGTTGGTTTCTATTGTCATTGTTATTTTGGATGCATTTCTTATTCTTAAACCAAGTCAGTGCCTGAGATTCAAACACTGATAGTTGATTGAGTGAATGAAAAATTACAATGCCCTCTTCATCACTTCACCATTTTTACTGTCACTTATATTTTTGCTAGGCAATATTGAGGGTACATTCAGGAATCATTTTTCAATTTATATGAAACCTAGAGAGATAAAGCAGACAGATATCAATATACATGATCAAAAATCCTACTGCTCCTTAATTTTTCTCGACATTGCTCATGAAAATAATAACACTTAAATTCAGTAAAAACTCACTAAACTTGTTTAAAGATAACTTTTAACCTTCCTTTTAAGCAAAAGAGACATGTTTTCTATGCCAATAATAAATGGATGTTCAAGGGCAATTTGTTATAATAAGTCACTGAGGAAGAAAATCAGTAACCACAGAAAGTTCCACATTAGCTGTTTATATTTCCTGATGTTAACCACTGCTTATTGATTTCCCTACATCTTCACAGACAAAATTTCACTTGGCTTTTAGTACTAATTTTAATCTCTTCTTTACCCATGTAATTTCTAAAAATTATTTCCTTTATGTAAAGAAACTAGAATGGCCAATAAAATAAGAACAGTAGCTGTTTTTTAGAAATGACAATGTGGCTGACTCAACTCTGGATTTAAAGTGGGGAGCAATCACTTACAATTAAAAAAACCTCCTCTGTTCATGGGTATCAAATGAAGACCAAGTTACACAGAGTTCACAATGTGTAAAACAATGTAAGCAAAAAATGAAAACATGAATCACAGAGAGGCTTTCTCAGTTGAGACTCCATTAGAGAATTAAATCTATGTTTTAACCTATAGTTTATCACTTAAACCAGAATGCTTTGAGAATAAAAAAAGGCACTATTAATAATTATGCTCAGATAACTAGTATAAATTGGGTCATGTGATCCACCCTTGTGAAGCTGACAAACCTAAAGAACCAACCAACCAAAGTTAAAAGGCCCAAGACTGTTGTTTCCATTTTTTGTTTGGTTTTGTATTTTCTGATCCTACCCTCCCCAAGACTCTCCCTCTTGCTTGTCCAAGAGCATGGCAGTTTTACTCCAAACACAGTAATACAAACGTAGAACTTACTTCTTAATTCTTTCTCCAAAAGAGGCTAATTCCTCCAAGATGTTTTGAACAGTTGAGACAATATCCTGAACCATGTAGATTCTTTCAATTAAGCCCTTCTTCTCAGATTCCTAAGAAACATAAAAGATTGAACTCAGTTACTTCATTTTTATTGGTCTGCTATAGAAATCATCATACCAGTATTATCATAACATGGCTATTAGCAACAGAGTGACTTCAGGAGATAAATTTACATTTTTTACAATTTACTTATCGGCTCCCCAAATTCCTAACTACTCATGAGATGCGACCACTTGTCGTGTGCAAGCATCTCAATATCATGAGCTGATGAAGGATAACTCCAGAGAACAAAGAACCTCATTTCCCTGCAGAGTCGCTGCTTCTCCCAGAGAATTCTGTAACTTCTTTCACTGGCCGATCCTGGGTTGCTCAGTCTTCACAAGGTTAGCTTACTTACCCCTCTTCTGATAGTTCTTCAGAAAGGCTTCCAGCAGGTAGCAATAGGGCATGCTGGACATCCAGATGATATTCAGTTGTCTAAGAATATTATCCTTACTTTGCTTAAAGAAAACTTAAAATGTGTTTTCCCACATTAGGCTGTTGTTGTTCAGTCACTAAGATGTATCTGACTCTTTGGGATCCGATGGAATACAACACATCAGGCTCCTCTGTCCTTCACTATCTCCCGGGGTCTGCTCAAATTCATTTACACTGAGGCAGTGATGCTACCTAAGCATCTCATCCTCTGCCATCCCCTTGTCCTTTTGCCTCAATCTTTCCCAGCATCAGAGTCTTTTCCACTGAGTCAACTCTTTGCATTAGGTGGCCAAAATATTGTAGCTTCACCTTCAGCATTAATATTCAGGGTTGATTTCCTTTAAGACAGAATGGTTTGATCTCCTTGCAGTCCTAGGGACTCTCAGGAGTCTTCTTCAGCACCACAATTTGAAAGCATCAATTCTTTGGCACTCAGTCTTCTTTATGGCCCAACTTTCACACCCGTACAGGACTACTGGAAAAAACATAGCTTCGACTATACAGACCTTTGTTGGCAGAGTGATGTCTCTGCTTTTCATATGCTGCCTAGGTTTGTCATAACTTTCCTTCCAAGGAGCAAGGAGTCTTCCAAGGAGTCTTTCAATTTCATGGCTGCAATTACCATCAGCAGTGATTTTGGAGTGCAAGAAAATAAAGTCTGTCACTGCTTGCACTTTTTCCCCTTCTATTTGCTGTGAAGGGATGAGACTGGATGCCATGATCTAACCATGTTAGGTAGCTGATGCTTATAAAACTAATCTAGAAATCACTCACATGTTGGATAAAAGATGATTCCCTGAAGAAGGGCATTTTCACACTATATCTTATATTCGGATACCATATTCTAGCTCCGTTATGAACTCTATTGTAACTGGGATTTAGTTACTAACTTCTTAGCTCAGGCCAAGCTGAGCCAGTATAGCTGTTACATCTAATATATAATACCTAAAACCTCAAATAAACCTAACAAAACTTATTTTTTCTACGTAAAATTTTACTTGGGTTAGAATTATACTAAATTATCTTCTAAATCCAAGAGACCATTTCTATAATAATCTTCTTTGCAACAAAAGAAAAAAAAATTCATTCTCATCTTGTATTCTCTGTTCCATCAAACTGGACCCACGGATGGAGGAAGGAAAACATATTACCTCATAGCGATTTCAGTGACTGGTAAAAGCATCAATATGACAGAAATGTCAAAAAGCAGAAATTTCCCTTGTTGTTTATGGAGTTACTGGCAGAAACAAAGAGATGGGCTGAGGTTAGGATGTACCATTTCTATCTCCTTTATAGTAAGGGTGCTGGGATGGTCTGAATAACGTCTCACCATCTGTTCTGCACCCATTTATCCAATGATCCTGTACCGTAGGAGGTCATACTCATTGCTTCCTCTTGCAAGTCAAACTTGCAAGACGTTGTTACTTTTTTCACTCCAGTTTTCAATTTCTTACTTCCCTTACTCTTTCTAACTCTAATTCTTCAAGTGGTTTTGTATTAAAAACTGGATATACTGCCAGAACAACTTAATTCATGTTCAACAATCCACCAACATCTATTAATGGGCACAGTGGTGAAAACCCATCTCTGTCTGCTGCAGAAATATTCATGTTTATAAAGGAGGATTTGAAAGCACCAGGGAATTTGACCCAAAGGGCAAAAGTGGCTTCCTCTTTTCAACAGCATAGAGTTTAGGTCAAAACAATTTTTTGGAAAATGACTCAAATTTCCATGTGGCTCTATTTCATAACAATGCCCTACTTTAGTTGACTGATTTTTTTTTTCCCTCCTGAAACACCCCAAATGCAGAGATTCTGGTTGTGATGAAAAGCCTGGGTTAGTACATCAAAATAATAAATGATTCTCACAAGATTCTCTCACTTTTTAATGAATTTGATGTTTCAGTTTGAATAATCAGTATTTAAAGACTAAGCTAAAAATTTCACTGTATCTAGGGTAACAAGATAATTTATGAACCATAAATGTATACTTTTAAGAGTGAAAGTAAACAGAACTATGTAATATTTGAAGTATTTATCAACTGACAACTTGGTTTATTGTATTAGTGGATCTATAAAATTATTTCATTGTCATTTTCATAATGACATTGTCTCAAGATAAAAACATATACTTTATATATATTAGAACAAAGAAACTTGCCCATACTATGTGAATTGTAAAATGATACATAAGAATGATTATTCATTCCATATATTCATATATTTAATTGGTTTTCTAGTTATAGTTGTTTATAGTCCCATGTCAAGCTTACTTTTCCACAAAAGTAATATTATCTTTAATGTCATCTTTTCACTTACATTTCATAAAATTGTTGTTACCTATCTTCAGAGTTGCACCTAATCATTGTTAAATTGATACATTAAATTGACTCTACTGTAGACCATAATTTTAACTACAAAAATACTTTCTCTCCAGGGACTGAGGTACTTTGAAAATTCACAACAAAAATGTGATACATGAAGAATATTCTCGATTCTGTTTTTTAAATATTAAAATCTGTATATATTTCAGCCCAAATAATTTCAAAGGCACTATATTCATTCATACGAACTTTATCAAACTTTTTCAAGATAAAACTTTAAGTTGTATGTATAATTTTTCAAATTCTTCTAAAGTTGAAATTCTTCAAATTTATGCTGAAAAGTAAGTGGCTTCTCAATTTCCTTCCATTCCTGGGTAGAATTTATATTTATCCTATTAAAGATCAAAAGTTTTTTTAATCCCACCAACCGAGATAATCCAAAGTGTAACTTGTGAATTTAAACACCAAATCATGCATAGGATCTGACCTCACAGATTACTTTGTGTTGAATATCCGTTGCTTTTGCAAAGAAAAAATTGTTATTTTTGCCAGTTCTTTTAAAATTGATTTCCATTTACTAAAAGCTTTCAAAGATGAGGTAATTAGAATTTTCAGTTATCAAAAATTTTGATTAAAAAATTTCCAACTGACATGACCAAAATGCAACAAACACTGAAAAGATTTCTTTTTTTCCCCACAAGAGTTCAATAGCTTTGGAGAATGTTTAAGTTGACTGAGAGTTCAAAGGTTTCAAACACTCTTAAAATCAGACTGATGGATGGATGACTGGGAGCAAAAAGAAAGTGCACACAGCCATGCTGAATGAAATATATTTTTATATCTGACATATCTTTGCCATGAAAACTTTGCTGTTGCTATCCCAACTCTGTGTATATAAAATATTTATAAATGTGGACACTACAGCTGCTAATTCAATTGGTTGTGCATTATCACTTGTCTGTATGCAACCATGGATAATAGGGTACCATGATCTATCACTTGTAAATTTCTGCTTCAAAGATCCATTCAACTTACATGAGTATCTTATTAGCCATGGTGCTGTGTTTCATCAAAATTTGCATTCATATTATCACTACAAAATTAAATAACCTTCAATGCTACATGTTTCAAATAAATTTACAATAGCATTCCTGATGTCAGAGATTTCATTTTTTGTAAAACTAACTTGTAAAGGCTCTATTTTGATTCCATACAGTGGATGTAAAAATATAACATTTCAGGTTGTCACAGCAGGGTACTGGAAAAGTTTTCAATTAGCAGTAATCACCCCTCAGATAAACCTCATTGGCTACAATATTGCCACTGTGCAAAGCTACAACAGATTTCAGAATTAACTTACTTGATATTGTTTGAGTCATTTGATGGCCTGCTGATAAGACTGGCATCATTTGACTCTTCACAAGGTTTTTGATACATTGATGCTACTGAGGTGAACATATTAACATGTACCTTGCCCTTTCTCATACATGCATAATGAAACTTTGGGATGGAAGATGAGATAAGTGTGGAAGAACAGTCATTTGATCCAAACAAAAACTCATGCTGCACACAAGGGTGTGTAAACACATCTTTTGGGCTGTGTAATTTAAAACCATGTTTCCAGAAGTGGTCTTCTAAAAATAACTATTGACAGTTGAAGGCTCTTCAGCAGGTTTGCAACTTAAGCTTACATGTATCAGTGATGTGATCATGGTCCCAGCGGTAGATAGGAAACGTGAATGTTAGTTCATTAACAATTATCTTGAAAACTGGATTATCAGTACTTGATTATTCATTATTCATATTATTCATTAAACATGCAACTCTTTACTATTATTTACTCACTGAAAAAGCATTATCGAGAAGTAAAACAACATGCAAATTTACCGAAAATAAAGAGTGAAATAAAACATTATAGTAAAAATGTGCAGACAATTTTTTATTCCCCTATCTATAGGACTAGTTAAATTCTGTATGTATCTACTATATATCAGTGCTATAGTTGCTATCGTTTCCCATCTTTCTCATCACTGGGCACTCTGACCTGGTTGCTTGGGCATTTTATGCATCTGACTGGTACCACCAGAGGCTGGTACACTGGGGTCATCACATGCTTCTCCACAATTGCCCAAGAGCACTTTGTCTTTTCAGGGACCATCCAAAAGCCTTCCTTTAAAGCCACGTTTTATTTAGAAAGAACCAGGAAAATAGATGGGTGCCCCTTGCTTGGCCTTAACCTGCTATCAGTGA